CCGAGAAGTTTGTAACTTATCTAAATACAAAAACAATAAAAAGTACTAAGGTTATTGGTTCAAACCAAGGGGCTGGCCAGTTCCCACGGTTTCATCCTTTTGAGGCGTCTGTATTCGTTGGAATTGTCTAGTGATTGCCTCAATATTATGGTGATGGAGACGTTTCTCGTAGTTTGTAGCAACTTTAGTTATAATTGTGAGACAGTCTCCAACCCCAAATCTCTATGGATATCTATGATTTTTTACGTGTAATATTTTTCAGTAGTTGGCGGCTGCGTAGCTGCCGCAGGCCCCTAGTTCACTTTTTAAACATCTTTGAAAGCTTTCTTGGTCATTCATGCTATGAGGGCTATCCATCGAAGAGAGACATGCCCTTACATGAGGAGGGAATGAGTAGTCTCCCGCGATGTAGTTATCTACCACTAAATACCAAGGTGCGAGATTAACGCTTTCTTGTTGAATATTGAATATTCGCTCAAACATGTGAGTTTTCAGTACCAGAAAAATTCCCGCAATTCTATGCATCTCCAAAGAGGTAAAAAAGGGGGCAATCCCGCAATTCTATCGCAGCCCTCTGAGAATGATGTCTTAATTGGACTGACCCCGTCGACCAAACGAAAATCACCACCAAACATTTTCCCACACATAAATTATTATAATTGATTATGATTTCCACATTTTATCGATCACTATCCCTGTTTCTTAGCATTATTAAAAGCCTGGTTGCGATTTTTTTTCACAATTTGACATTATTGGGGAACGCCAATCCATTTTCTTCCGTGTTTCTTCAAATTGCAGGGCCGAGACGTTCTGAAGTCAGCAATATTAATCTGGTTTTCATCAAATCCTGAATTTTCCCGCAAGACTGCATTAAATTATGAGTAAAAATGGTCCAGTTATGTAAAAAAACATAAACACATATCGCAAACAAGGTAATGTATTTACATCATGCAGGGAACAAAAAAATAAAAATAACAAAACTAAGACTGCATTGAACTATGAGGTAAAATGGTCTGCTTACGTATAAAAACATATCGCAAAAAAGGTACTTGGACGGGGCATCATGCAGGGAATAAAGTAGATGATGAACGCGTGCAGCCATACATTTTTAACTGAGGGGGGGGGGGAATTCAGACCCCACGAACTTTTCCCTGGCCGCATTCCATTATAGGTTGCGCATGTCGCCATGTATTAGGTGTCAATAAATAAATGTAAAAGTACATAAATAATTCAGCAGATCCCTTCTCGAAAGAGGATATTCATCCCAAGTGCAAGCATGAGCAGCCAGAATCCTATTCCTCTAGCCACTGCAGCGGCGGTTGCATAAGTGGTCAGAACCAATCCTGCTTTTGGCCGCAATTCGGTGCAGTCATGACCTTTCGAGCTCACAACTGTTACTTTGTCCCTGGAACACGTAATGTATGACGTTATTGTTGTAGTACTCGCAATGGATCTACTTAATGATTGGAACAGCACATAGCTTTTGAGATCTTAAGTTATTAAACTGTGAGGATGAAAGAACTCTCATTAGGATGGTGGCTGTGATGGTTTTAAGATATGTTCATTAAAATGGCGGCCACCCGCGAGAGGCGCTGGTCAACAAACGCCCCGGCGCACAGTGGATCAATAAGTCAATAGGAGAGGTCGGACAAAATGTGGAAACTTTAAAAGCTTATGACTCCGTTTATACACAATTTTGAGGTTCTAAAATTAATTCCATTGGTTTCCTCGTACAATTTTTCTTACTCAATTACCGTATATGCCGGGCATTACCGAACATGCTAGGCACTATCAGACATGATGAGCAATACCGCACATGTCAGGCATTACCGTAAATGTCAGATATCACCGTAAATGTCAAGCATTCCCGTAAATGCAAGGTATTTTGGAAAATGCATTGCATTCCCCATAAAAAAGAATACTCACCCTATTTTAAAGCCGGAATTCAAACTTCCAGTGTGGACGTACATTGTTTGAGGAAGGCCAAAATTGGAATCGCCAGAGCAGATCTTCCCCGATTCCGATCCGAGGTTTATAACAACTGCAATCGTCTCATTGTTGGCACTCCTGAGAGATGATTTGTTCTTTAAAATATTATTTAATTTGATAATATTAAAAGAGCGAGGGGGGTACCGGGTACGATTTGTGTGGAAGATATGTGAATTACTGCTAGAGGGGTAAAAATTTTGGGAGCATTGCATAAAGCAACAAGAGGAGCTTCGCGGTACGATCTATTTCTCCTTGTTCATTTATTTCGTAAACTAGGTTAAATTTTAACGGAACTACAGCATAAAGAAGCTTGTTTCAACTTCCAAATCAGCACAGAATTTCTTCATAAAAAAAAAAAAATTACTACCATATGGATCACATTTAGCAAGACGGAACCAGATTTTTTCACAGCATGCAACTTCTTCTTTTCTTTTAAAACTACTCAATATGATTCCAGTATTAAAATTTACACAATTATTCTCTTTTGAACCTATTAATTTTTAAACATTTAAAAACACATTTTAAAACATTCTTAATTTTTTGGTGGGACGCAAAAACTGTTTGCTATTCTGGGAGATTTATGTGATAATTATAAAGAATCAACATTTTTACATCACCGCGTAATCGTGCTCTTTTCTTTTTGCTAAATGGGATCCATATCATATATTTGAGATTTTACTCGTTGTAGTCAAAATATTATCATTCCAGACTTTTTGTGGCTGCTACAATATAATTTTAGACGAAGGTTGGTGTTAAGCGCAAAAACATAAAAAATAGCAAAATCAATCTACCATAAATTCGGTAGCTAAGAAAATATGGAGTCACTTAAATTGTGAAATCTACAAGTATCAATAAGAAGGGAGCTCCCTCATAAGCAAGGACAAGGATACGCATCAATGAATTATTGGTTATGCAGTCTTGAAAAAAAGGCTACATTACGTCCAAGTACATATATATTGCCAAGAGTAATAGCCTCAAAAACAAATTTGAAATGAAACAATAACCTGGTGAATAAATAGGTCCAGTTGTTTACGATATAGGTCTTCAGATCTCCATTCTTCAAGACAGGCCTCCTCCGAAGTGCCATCAGACGTTTGAAAATCTTTAAATGACTGTTAGGTTCTTTTAATTGCCTTTCCACGTTGGTGTACCAATACCTCGCACTCAGAGGCAACCACGGTTTATCATTTTTTGTGAAACCTGTAATAAAGAATAATTTTCTATTGTATCATTAGAAGGGCCTCTTTGTGTCACTTTTTGCATGGAGAAACTCAAAAATTTGGTCCAAATGTTGCCTTAACAAAACCTTATGATGCGAAAATCCAATAGTGAAAATTTTACCCACACTTCAAAGCTAGTTTTGGCAAAATACATCAGTACAAAGTTAGATTTTTTTAAAATTGATCTATGTCAATATTTTGAAGTTCCTCGTTTGAAAAATCAACACCAGTTAATCCCTCATCCTTTGCTGAGGCACAGTATCACCAGTTCTTATGACTGTTGTTAAATTATTTGTTTTGGTTTGAACTCCTGAACGATAGATATACCGGAATCACACGCTGAATTTGGCAGCTGAGTATGAAAGTCAACAGTCATCGCTCAACGGCTAAAATTTCGCGAATTCGAGTTATTTTCATCTAGATTTGTATCAAATCTATTCGAATAGTTCAGACACATCCGACATTATCCAATTATCGCTGAGCCTCGTTGCTGAATTTTGCGCGACACGCGCAAAATTCAGGCATCGGACCGATGACTTCCACATTTAAGCCACATTCAGCGTGTGATTCCGGTGATAGTTCGATATTATAACGAGTGATGTAGCCACAGCAATTAGTCTATTTCTTCGTAGGCACTTATCAATATCACACGAGACGGCTGGAAACATTCTCGTTGCAGTGGCGTGGCGTGCTTTGCGATATATCGATTGATTTGCCATTTAAACAATATGGGAAGCGATCGATAAACTGAGTGATCGCGACGATCACATTAATAATAGGTTCTTTACCATATCCTCAAGTATGGAAATATCGATAATCGATCATTGACGCTTTGCCACTGCTGGGAACATTCTCATTTCTTCGATTGCAGTCCATTCTTTCCCAAACTTATTATTTTCCCTGAGTTTCGAAGGTTTTTCGCTGAATGAGAGTTACGGCTCATTCTGTCAGAGTAATGATGTATCACGTGTCAGATAGAGCCTATCTCACGCTCTTTTGTCGCTGATGTCGGAAATCACCTCTCTTCACCAGTGACCATAACTTTTGCAAAAATAAAATTTTCACTAAATAAAGAGGATTTTTTTAATTGAAAAAACTAAACTTGAAGAGATGCATTTTTTCATTTTTTAAAAATTCAACGTTTCTAAAGCAACAAGGCAAGCTCCATACGTAATTGGACGTATTTATTGTAATAGAAACTAGAGACGGGTAGACAAAAAGGAGTGAGCTCGTTATAGTTGAGGGCCGTAAGAATGCGTGGGAATGATCGGGCGCCAGTGACGTCAGCGGCGACGATGAAACCCGCGGACGAAAATCCGAGGCATTAACTCATGAGCCCTGTCCACAACGCTCTTATCACATGCCCACGGCTCATGAGTTGAAATATTTTTGCGTTTAGTTCCTTTTGATTTAATTGAAAATCGCACTTTTCCATTTCCCCAAAGGGAATCCCGCCCACTTTTACATTGTCTCATGCAGCTCTAACGAGCACATCCCATTTTTCCCATCCGTATCTAATTCCTTTTAGCATAAATACGTCCAATTGACTAAAACAGAAAAATGGCGATGATAAATATCTGATAGGATAAAAGAGTACACTCAAAATACCTCCGTTCTTTGTGTCGTCCCAAGGCATTGGTCCCCTGCTCTGATCTCGATCAAGGTCTGGTCTATATTTCAGTGCTGCATCCATCTTTTGGTCCACCCTGACTAGGCTATTTTCTAGACCTATCTCGCTTCCGTAATACACGCATGCGGATCCCGGCAAAAGCAGACTCAGCATGTGAAAAGCGTCTACGGCATCAACCCCGAAACGTGAACTTACCCTTGGAAGATCGTGGGAGTCCGTCTACAAAATTAAGAGACAGTTTTTATTTCACTCAAATCAGAATGGACCACTAGATGAGGTGCAAATTCAAGCAATCTGATACATGTTTCGTAATCAGAATTTCACGCAGAACACGATTCGCGCAACGAAAATTACTAAAACCAATTCTTGACTATGGTATGAACGTTTTTATTTCACATTGGTTATGAGGAATTTGAACTGCCCGCTCACAAGAAACTCAAAGCTCTACGTGGGTCAAATCGCGCACTACAACGGTTTCAGAAAGCTTCTTAATCGAGCAAAGTTCATTTCCCACTATTTTGCTGCTCAAACTATGAGCAATCTGCATAGCTGAGCCAAAGCGTCAAGCTCGAGATTGTCAGATTTTTATATCGCAGAGACTGTCATGGTAACGTTTAGCGCGCGATGTGAATCACGTAGAGCATTGAGTTTTCATGAGTGGATGATGTAAATTCACGCATCAAGAATCATTGAATATCTTCGTAACGAGTTGATTCCGGTAATTTCCGTTGTGCGCATCGTGTTTTACGTGAAATTTTGGTGAAGAAACATGTGTCAGAGTGCTGAAGTTCGAACCTTGGCTGGTGGTCCATACTCAATCGTGGAGGGTAAAATCCTAATATCCACTATTTTATGCAAACATGCGCTGGTGGTCAACCGACCATTCCAAAGATACACCATCCAAAATCATAGGAAATCAACTGTCAAATACAAATATCGACTGTCCGATGCCAAAATCTATAGCTCTAATACATGTTTCCGCTCAAAAACTCCGACATTAATACATACATATCCACAATGTTTCGTCTTAGATTCCACAACGCCTTTTTTTAACTCGCAACTCTCGGCCTCATCTCATCAATGTTGCAGTTCAATCAGCATTTACCCAGCACAATCCTACAACACAGACACCCCCTGGCTCTATTCAATTCACACTTTTCTGCATCACTATTCAACACCGCCCGCCCCTTGCATTCTAACTCTTAATACGTATTTTATGCTCTATTTGACAGCACAGTATCCTAAATTAGAATTTCAGACTCCTAACACACCCTATTTTCTAGTTTTTGATACTGCTTCAATCTAGAGTATATCAGCGGTGACACTACCAGACCACGTATCTCGTTTGCGATGTCGAAAAATATCCGCTCTCATTTAATTTTTTTGGAGGAGAACAATTGGACGCATTTCTATCAAACGGAACTATGTGCATTATGACGTGAGCCCTGTTATGCATAGATTCTTATGGGTCTCAGGGGTCATGTCTTAATGCACATAGTTCCGTTTGGTAGAAATACGTCCAATTCAATAGCATTCCTTGAAGTTTTGGCATCATTTTTTCTGCATTGAGAAGAAAAATCTCGGAAGTTTTCAAGAATTGACTTTGATTAGTTACCTATTTAAAAATGAAAGTATGGCAGGAGGTCTGCAACGTTGCAAATCGAGATATGTGCAGGGCCGGATTTACCTGCTTGCCACCCATGGGTCGCCTGTATTTTGCCGCCCCCTTCTCATTCATTTTGAAACATCAATAAAACCATCAAGTGAACGTGCCGGAGGTAGCGGGGTGCATAAAACGCGTTTACTCGTGTTGGACACATTTTTTGCGAAAGCCCTGTCAACACTACTAGCAAAAATTCACGGAAATTTGCGCGAAAGTTAAGTCCCATAAACCTATCTCTTTGTGGACAAGGCCTTCCATTTCTAAGCATTGAACGAAAAAATTAAGAAAGAACAAGCATGAATGTGGTTTAATAATTTTAACTTCCGCCGCCGCTCCGCGCTGACCGCACTGTATTCGGCGCAATGCGGGAAGTATTCCGACAGTCTTGTAGGCGCTATGCGTTTCACGCCGACCGCTGCTAACCGCACTGTGTCTGACGCAATGCGTGAAGTATTCATGCAATCTTGTAGGCGCTAATATGTGTTACATGCCGACCGCCGCGCCGAGGGCTTCTCCTTTTCATCTCAGGTCCTCGTCATCATTCCTCTCTGCGCTGAGCTCCAGGCCTAATTGCGTGTTTCTTCCCTCTCTTAACTCGACTAATTAAAGATGCTGTCTCTTGTATCACCGAAAAACAACAAAATTAGAACTTACTATACTCTCAGGAAAGAGAGGTTTTGTCCCCTTTTCTCATTGATAATTTTTTTTTCTGAATCCGATTTTTTTAATACCTACATTTCAATAAATTGCAAAATTCGCCGCCCCCTAAATTTGCCGCCATGGGCCGCGGCCCATGTGGCCACCCCCTTAATCCGGCCGTGGATATGTGGTCTCGTAGTTTCACCGTCAATGTTGCCCAAAATCTCAAGTTTGACCCTATATACTACTCATCATCGGTCGAGGTTTGCTCTAAAACCACAGATTTTCGGCAAACTAGTTAAAGCATAACTGTGATCAGTTCGTCCAGTGGTCCGTTTTGAAGGCGTAAAAACAAGTGCAAGTCCATTGGTGCGATCAGAAGATTTTTTTGCGATTCGTATTTCGATCATGTTATTTTTGAGAAGGTTTAAATTTCAAATGAATCATAATAGAATTCTCACCAGCCAGTTCGGTAAACGATTTATCGGTAGATGGTCATTGAAGTCATGAATAACTTCATCCAGCTTGGTCAGATTCTCCATCTGCATATAATTTAGGTAAACAAGTCGGAAATAAAAAGGGATGTGCGCCAAGGGAAACGTCTCATTCCCGAAGTATTGGAACAATTTTTCTGCCTTGTTTATATCCTCGATTGCTAACAATCTGTAATGGCGCGAAATCAAAACAGTAGTCACATAGAAAATTTCTCCTCGTGTTTTATAATCCTTCCATATCTTATTAAACAGCTTGACCTGGATTAAATTGTAGAGCTACTTAAGCAGGGAAGAATAGGATGGTTACTATCCTCATTATTAGAAGATTGTTTCTCGGACAAAATTTTGATAAGACTGTCTACACATCCAAGTCTTGTGTTACACACAATTCGGGTTACACTTTTTAGTGTTTTTTCTTGACTTCAGACCCCGCGTTAAGCAAAAAGGAACCAAGGCACATGAGCTATTGCCAAATTTAAGCGGGCAATTTAATTTTTTACATGAAAACCGTTGTGCAAATTTTTGTACAAATTTCAATTTCCTGCAAAGTTTAAGATTCTAAAAAATTTAAAAAACTTTTAAGACAATTTTGAACCACTCACTTGCATAAAATCTTCTTTTCACGGAAGCGGACGCGTTTCGGAGGTTACCTGCCCTCCATCATCGGCGCGACTGGTCAATTCCAATCAGCTGATTTCGGTCCCGGATTATTTCCCGTCCCTCCATCGTTGTCACATCTCGAGTGTATTGTTGTAAACAGTCTGTTATTTACTCCCGTTAGATCCGTATTAAAAATGTTGTTCTTATTTTGGTACCTACATGTAAATACTTTCCCATATGTCTAGTTTATTTTTCTCAGTGACTTTTCTTAGCAGTTTCGGTTCAAACGATATTTCGTGTCCTTCTTCCCAGTAGTGTAGAGCTACTGCTGATTTCTCTGTTTGTCTATTTCTAACACATCTTTTATGTTCTTGGGCTCTTACTTTCAGTGAACGGCTGGTCTGTCCTATGTAGAATTTATTGCATTCTGTACAGTTAATTTGGTAAATACCTTTCTCCTCGTTGTCAGGTCTTCTGTTTTCAATCTTCCTGCTAAATTGTTGGGCAACATTGAACCTATTAGTGAAGCTTAGTTTTATGTTGAACTTCTCAAAAATCCTACGAAAAGCTGGGGCATATTTCGGATGGTATGATAATTTCTTAAACCTCATCTCGGCTTTCTCTATATTTAGCTTTGATGTTTCCTTATTTAGGGTTCTCTGCTTCACTTTTTCATTCAATTTCTTGATTTCTCCTTTGTTAAAACTATTCTTTTCTGCTATCTCTAAAATTTTCTCTATTTCTATTTTGTAATCAGTTTCGTTCAAAGGAATGCTGTTTGTTCTGTGTAGCATGAAGTTGAAAGCTGCGAGTTTGTGTGGTCTGTGGTTGAACGCTCTGTTGTTGATATATGTTTCCGTGCTCGTAGGTTTCCGATATATTCCGAATTTGAGATTATCTTTGTCCCTATGTACGATTAGGTCTAAAAAGGGAAGTTTTTGTTCTTCTTCTACTTCAAGTGTGAATTGAATTTTCTCGTGGTATGAGTTAAGAATTGTAAGGGCTTCGTTAATATGGTGTTTTTTTAGTATCTCTAAGACATCATCTACGAACCGAGACCAATGTTGGAAAATTTTCGGGTATTCTTTAATAGCTCTGCATTCAAATTCACTCATGACCAGCTCAGCTGTCAACGAGGAGATCGGGTTGCCCATCATTAGGCCGTCTAATTGTTCGTAAAGTTCATTGTTGAAGTAAAATGCGTTTTGAGTTAGACATAAATTTACTAGTCCCGCATATTCTTTAATTTTCACCGAGCTTATTCCATTTTTGTGTAGCCAATTTCTTAAGGTGTCTAG